CCGCAAGTTAGCCCTCTCATATGTCTACCTCACTTACACCAGAGAGCCCATATATGGACACATATATGAAAGGTTTTTCGTTCGTGCGCAAACACGGAAACTTCTAGCCCTGTGACACGAAGGGCAAAAGATTGAAGGCAAATATTTGAATAGAGCTATCCTCGAGATATTCGGCAGCTGCGAACTCAGATGTACAATGCGACAATAATTGGTTGAGTACGTCAGCAAGTACAAAGCAATAGACGGGCATTTAAGTTAATGATAGAAAAACACACAGGAAAGAGGTTTAGAAAGATGTTTTAACAGCTTTAAATCCACCAAGAGTAAATTTTTGGACTCCTTATCTTAGATGTCAAAGCTGCCTGTAAACAACAGTTCACTGCACTTCCGGCTTGACTCGCCCTTCTGTGTACAAATAAACACAAAGGCCAAAAAATGTGATTTTGCTGGAGACATATTTGTAAAGCTGACTGTCTCACAAATCAGTGTTTTGTTTTTTTTCCTTTCACTATTTGTGCCTTGACATTTCTTGGCTTTTGAGAATTTGATTTTACACTAGGATTGTGGCATGGCATCCCACATAAGTGTGAAATGAATCGTGACAGTTCCCCACAGATGCCAACCCCACCCGCTTCTAGTCTAAGCTGACTGAGCAGCATCAGATATGGCTTACAATCTTCCCTCTCTGTGTGTCCCCCCTCTAAGAGGGGAAGAACACAAACAAACTGTCTGGGAGGCGCCCTGCCGAGGCCACAAATATTCCTCCATTATGACTTCTACCCACATTTGTGTTTGCTCTACTGAACGTGTTAACTTTTGGAATTTTCCTCCATAGCTCAGCTTGTTTTTTCTCAATAACTTGTTGTGGCTTTGGTATTGTCACAGAGGCTTTTCTGCAAACTTGAAAAATGAGCTTTAAATCTCAGCTTTGACCGATTATGAATTTCAAAAATGCATTTAGAAATTTATTTCAGGACTCCCAGGGAGCATCATAGACATATGTGTTTTTTATAAAACTGAAAGGTTTGTGTCTCATTCGTGGACTGTAAGAGGATTTTCTTTCCACAGCCTGTGGGATGACAGATCCTTTCTTTTAACAGCAGCTACTTGTGCTGTAGCAAAATCTTGGCACTGGAAGAAAGCTACCCATCTTCAGTGGAACACCTGCAGCTGAATTAGGTTGACCTTCATACCAAAGGAATTTGCCTTTGGCGAAAACTGTGAATTCTGATCAGCTCATACTGTACTTTCAGTGTTTGTCATTTAAACAATAGGTTTGCTGGGATTAAAACAGAACAAGGAACGTGCCGGTGTGATTTACACCCTTAATGACAGATTCATCACCACACAAAAAGGAGTGACTCAAAGTGTCACAGCCTTATTGCAACTATCCATCAAGTTAAATACTGTAGCTGTCTCTGTGCCATGGTTGGATGTCCACATGGTTAGATGTCCACCTGTGCTCAATAATAAACCAGTTCAAGTCTTACGACTACCAGTATATGTCAGTGGAACATTACTGTGGATAAACCAATCATCAGTAGGGCATGGGCTGGGCTTGGGTTACATCTTAAGTTGCACCCTCCCAGAACCCCATCTCAGTTTTTGCTATGCTAAATGCCCCTGCATGGAGCTATCTAATCACGGGGGTACCGTCCCAAAGGGCCAAGAAGTTTTCTCTCTATATATATCTGGATGATGTCTGCAGAAACCTTAAGATGGTATTTGACGAGGGGTCTGCAATCACTGTACTTCACTCAGCAGCCATGCACTCAACATGGAGGAGAACCGCCCTTGAAACGTTCACTGCTCTGTATCGGTGCAATCAGTAATACCGTGCATCATTAGAAAATAATCACTCACAAGTTGGCTTGTGGTTTCAAAGCATATGGCAAAACCTCAGGAAAGTTTTTAAGTGTTTTCCTGGAAGAACTTCCAGTCTTTGCATCCAATAACCTTTGTAAATGCACACAACACAATAAACAGAACAGACGCAAATGGATCCTTTCTCTAATGTAGTAACATTTAAGCCACGACTAGACCCTAAATATCTCTCCCAAGTGTCTTCTTATGCAAACATGGGTTCAGGCACAGCGGCCAAGTAAAGCTCGGCTACTCCCAGAGCGTCAGCTGAGGAGAACCGGACATTCCACATACAGAGTGGGCTGTCATTGTAGGACTAACAGATTAACTATTACAGTGTTACAATATTATAAAGCAGCTCCAAATGGCTGCTTTGTGTCATTTAAATTCGGGAGGATCACAAACGGTCCATAATTGAAAGACTTTCTTTCTACCAGCTTTTGACCTTTTTGCGTCTGTATTTATGTGTTTAACATGCTCTAATTCGATTATGTATGGCATCCTTTTTTAAACCCTTATTTATAAACATGTGAGCTGCAAAAGCTTTCACTGATTTGAATTTGAATATGACGATAGTCCCACCTGTCTCACTCAGCTGTCCCCTCCTGCAGACCAAATCATGATACGGGGAGACAATCAGAATTCCAACATGACAGAGTATCCCAGACCTGTCCAGAAAATAGGCAACAGTTGTCTGATTGCAAGTCTGTGTTTTCAACCCACAGTAGGACGGAATTCTTCCTTGACTGTGTTCCCCTCAGTTGTTTCCACCTCTAAGGATAATTGTTAAGAATATTCATGGCCTTTAAATGAGTATTTACTGTTTTCAACACAATAAATTCTTTACTGATGCGGCAAAGCTTTGTGGGAGAAGACTGCATAATAAGACTGAAGTTATTTATAATGTTCCAACAAGTAAGTCCCAAGAAAGCATTTATCTTTAAATCCCAGCTTCAATGCTGCATATTGTAGGACGTAGGCTTAGACTTATTTAAGGTTGGCAGCTTTAATGGGCTTCAGAGACCGAGTTTTTTCTTTTCTTTCAAAGAGCTCAAAATTACATGTCTAGATCTTTTCTTTTTCTTTTTTTTTTTCTTTTTGCGGCTTTGAAAAAAACAACACTTTTTCCATGTGGTGGCTTTCTTAAATGCCTTATGCCTCAAATACTGAAAGAGTTTGTTATTGCCTTCTCATTTGTAAAAATGAAAGAAAACTTAAGTGTTACCTTCAGCTGTGAGAGTACCTTTAATTTTCCAGTGGAATGCAACTTGGAGCTCGGCAGGTTTTCACTAATATCTGGATTTCATTCAAAATAAACATATTAGGCCCTGGGACATTCTTAATGTGCCAACGATTTACAGTAAAACATGATAAAAGGAGCTTATTTTCATTCCAGGGGTGCTACAGGAACTCTGGCATGCCTTTTAACTGGAAATACTGTTTAAGATAATGAATATGGAATTCCAAATCAAGAACAACCAGCAGTGCACTATAAATTATACATTACTGCAAACATAAATGGCAAACTGTGCATAGGTATTGTAACCAGAAACATCCACAATACTGTGCACGATATGGCAACAAACAAACAAAAAAAGGACTGAACACTCAAAGCGTTAAATAAATGAAGTGGCTTAATTTACTAAGTCAGTCATGCAAGACTCAAGAAAGACCGCCTCAGCAACCTTGCAGACTTCCTTATTTATAGAGAAAAGCTTTCCAGAGCTTTGATTTTAGTGTGAGAGAAAAGCAGTTAGACACAAACTCTGTAAACAGTGTCTTTCATTGCCATTAATAATTAGAAAACAAAGGCTGTCCCCAGATTAGCAAAATGCATTTTCTTTTAGGGCTCATGACAGTCAAATGTAAAACAAACAAACAAAAAACAACCACTAATGGCTAAATTGGAAAGAGACAAATAAATCAATAGGATAAGAAGTCTCATCTTTCTCTGGCACTGTAAAAATCATAATTTGCTCCTTATTATGTAATTATTTCTTTTATTCAGTCTGCTAAGCATAGCAACAATATTCTATAAAACAGGCCAAAGCCTGAGCAAGACAGCGATTATTTTAAGAGACATATCTAATGCCTTTAGACCTTCCACTCTTGGCACAGTGTCTTGGATCCATTACAGACTAAGGCAGGTGCATGGAAGAAAAGTCGATCCTAAAAATATCCTTGAGAAGACTAAAAGACACTTGGAGTGTCCTCAGTCACCGTAGTGTGCTTTGACTTTTCACTAAGTTACTGCAGAGGGATCATTACTTGATATAATTTCTGTTAGGCATATTGTTATAATCGCATTGAATAATAATTGCTTAAATTTAGTAAGGCTAGTAATAAATATGCAATATGATGTGAAATTGTCTTCTTCGTTGGTTTTTAAAACAGTAAACATTTCACAAATCACAAGCCAATCAGTGACTTAGCTGCTCTTATTGAAGTACAAAGCTGCCAGGATGCTGTGATGCCAGACAAATGACACATCAACGGTTTACATGAGGGATATCTGATACATTATCAGGTAAACACTTCCCTCTGTTGAGCCCCCTAGACTGTGAACAATGCCTCTAGGGCTTGCGTGGCTAACCAAAAGCATCTCATATCACAGAGAGCCACTACAGCATATTCCAAGCGAACTTACACTCAGCCACCCAAACACACTCAGGCAGAGATAAAGAGCTACCATAGACTACACGGTGACAAAAGCTTGTTCTGCAGCTGGCTCTGGTCCCTCTCCCAGCTTTTCCAAAGTAAGAAGAGATGCAGGAAAACAGGAAGGCACTGCCACTGTGAAATAAGGCCAGAAAACGTAATTTCCTTGCAAATTAAACATATGCCAACTTTCAGAAACTTTGGGAAAGTGCAGGCCACTCAATTCAGAGACAGAGGCTGCATGTTGCTTTTAAATGGGTGACCGGGGCGTTAACGCAAACGTAAACAGTCTTTTTCTGCATCTTCTCTGACATTAAATGGCAGGAACCCTTTCCGTGGGAGCATACCCATACTCGTCACACCCCATATAAAGGCGTCTCAGATGTATAGGAGCAACGAATAGCCAAGCAGATCCTTAAAAAAACGCCGGAGCACCCACACACGCCTCCTCCCAAAAAGTATTGGATGTCCAAAGGAATCCAGTCACTCCCCCACCACCACCACCTTGAAAGTACATATTTGACAGTGCAAAGTCAGGCAGAGCCTGCACTCCAGCTTAGCGTTCAGTTAGGCACAGACGCCCCAGCCCCTCTCCCACTCTATCCTTGGTTTTCCGTTGGACGTTTTGTCGGTGCCGCCGAACAACACTAAGCAGCCATGGATGCCATTAAGAAGAAGATGCAGATGCTCAAGCTCGACAAGGAGAATGCCTTGGACAGAGCTGAGCAGGCCGAGTCAGACAAGAAAGCAGCAGAGGACAGAAGCAAACAGGTCGGCTGTTTTTTTTTTGTCCTTCTTCCTTTTGTGGGAAAACCCGAAAGATGCAGTAAAAATGCAGGAATACCAGTTTAAATGGACCGCCTCCTTAAAACGGATTAATTATTTTCATGGATAATCCCAGTTAAGGATTAAAATTAAGAATAATCCATCCTTTAAACATTTTTTGCATTTTTAATGTCATTTTTGAAGAATGATAAAAAAGAAATCATCCTCTCCACTGTTTTAGCAACTGTTGATGTAACCCATAAACCATATAACCCAGAAATCATTTTTGATTAAGTCAATTTAAGAGAAATGTCGCTTGATCGTTGAAAACTGCATGTTTCTGTTATATTCTGTTTAACTGTATAATTTGTTCATATGCATGTGAAGTTAGAGGACGATATAAGAGAGATGGAAAAGAAATTGCGTATAACTGAGGACGAAAGAGATAAAGTGCTCGAGGAGTTCCAAACAGCTGAAGAAAAGCTGCTGACTGCTGAGGAAGTCGCCACCAAGGTATCTGATCCTGGAGTGCATGGGCTTCCCTAACTTTTCTCCTGTCTCTTTCTTTTCCGTGTGCTGTCCCCTGTCTCTCTCTCTTCTCTGTGTGTATGCGCTTTTGCGCCTGTGCGCGCTCACGCAACTCCGACCCTCCGCTGATCACCCCTGAAACTGTCCTGCACTGAAACTCAGCTTGAGGACGATTTGGTAGCTCTGCAGAAGAAACTGAAGGGAACTGAGGATGAGTTGGACAAGTACTCCGAGGCTCTTAAAGATGCCCAGGAGAAACTTGAGCTGGCTGAGAAGAAAGCCACCGATGTAAGTAAGGAAGGGATTTACAATGGCACCATTCCTACACGCTACCCCACATCTTCATTCTGCCACCTCTGAGGGAAGCGACAGTTCACCACCACTGCTCCAATCTGTGGATGGGGTTTTCCCCAAAGCTGATACACTACAAACTTTTATTTATTTGTTTGTTTGTTTGTTTTTAATCAACCATTTAGACCCGTAGTTGGAACTGTCGTTTCTTGAATTGTCACACGCACAATCACAGTCCAAAGAAAGTCGGTTTAATTGTTCAAATATAGCACTTTCAAAACATCTATGTTTAAACTCAGTTCATCCTCCCCTGGAGCCTCGTCGGTATTTCTGTACAAATTTGTAGCAATCTCTCGTGTTTGTGGACCGTGATCTCCGCCTTTTAGGTCTTTTCAGAGCGATAAGTCATGCAGACTGAACTCACAGCCTTCCCAAAAAGCTCAAGCGCCTAGATAAATATAGCCCACTGCTATATATGGTCAAGATAGAGCTCACATCTGCGTGCTGCGCTCTTTGCTGACCAAAGGAAAAAACGGTTCCCTATCAAAAAGTCTTGGGCAGCACACAAATTAAAAAGGAAAAAAGAAAGGAAAAGAAAGCTGCAGCATTTTTTTTCTCGATTGAATAAAAAGTTCTTTAAAAAAGAAGAAGAAAACTTTGTTTTGTTGCCCCACTGTTTTATCCCCTTGGTAATAAATGCGTGACAAAAATAAATAAATAAATAAAATAAATTATGTAAAGAATTTAGATTTTGTCATCTTAATGGCCTCATAAAGTTAGGTTTTTACGACAGGGGTCCCTCGAATGACAAGAGGTGACGGCCAACATCAAGTTCGGCAGATAGAGACGTTTGCTTATAAAACTCAATCAGACGAATCCGGTTGCAGAGGGGAAACAAGCTGTAATAATCTTTTAATTGGATCTCAAAGTAGGGGGTGGGTGGGTGGTTAGGCCAAAGTGGGTCAAAAGTCAATTGAGTAATTGAGTCTTCTCAGCTCGTATTTGATTGGACATTTCATTCCCTATAGAAAGCGTATTGTGGTGCCCCCCCCCCCCCCCAAAAAAAAAAAAAAAAAAAAAAGATATTTACCAGATAGTTTGTGGGTTGTTCGAGTAACTTTAACTACTACTTGTGTTTTATGGACTTGTTTTTCCCTTACATATTTTAGGATTGGTTGTTCCGTGATATTTGCAAAGTTTCAACGGCAGCCTGTAATTACTGTAGCCAGTGAAGACTTATTGAATGTCCTGCACTCTCCAAAACATTTCACTGCCACGTATGTACTGCTCGCGGCTGACCCGCAGAGGGGGCTGTAGCACAGTGTACGCTACGAGTACGCTCCGTTGTGTGTGGGTCTGGGTGTGCTCACGTCATTAAACAGCATTGGTATTTTGTATCTTTTACATTTTATTACATTTTATTATTTTATAGTGGCAGTGCAGCATGTTATCGCGGTCTAAAGTTTTGCACAACCCCGCAGGATACCGGTTATTTTTTCATGCTTCTTTTGAAATCACCGTACTTCCTGGTAAATACATTCACTGCACGGTGCGTCTCCAGAAGGCTTGCGCACTCTTTCGCCTCTCTTCACGCAGCCCTCTGCACAACCAAGGACGCCACCTCGTTCCTGGTGAAATTCTCGGAAACTGTGCTGCAGCGCAAAAGTGTAGTCCTGTTTTTTATATTATATATCTAAGTATATACAACGGTACATAAACAATGGCAGGAGTGACATCGCTGGATGCAGTGAAACGAAAGATCAAATCCTTACAAGAGCAGGCAGACGGTGCTGAAGACAGAGCCGAGAGATTACAGAAGGAGTTGCTTGCGCACAGGAAAGCCAGGGAACAAGTAAGCATGTTTACCGCGCTTAGAGCCTACCTGCGAGCGCACAATTGCCTCCTTTTTGTCTCTCTCTCTCTGTATCATTTCCTGTGCACTTGTGTAGAGTTCATGTAGGGCCATAGTTTGAATTGATACACAGTGAGATAGCGGGATTGCTCTTGACCCACCCCAGTGCTGGAAGCTGAGCTTTTACTTGGCTCTCCGTGTGCCACCGCAAGTCTCAGATGAAGCTTTGATAGCCCGCTGCTCCTGGATAAGCGCCTCTAATTGGCAACGTTAGGCCGCTGATGCCCTGTTGGCTCAGCAGCAACTGTGGCACTTTGTGTCATTGTATTGTCTCATCTCCTTAAACGAGTTCACTTGCATTTCCTTTACCGGTAAACCTGACTGTTTATATATATCTATATATACATATACACATATATTGCGATCCTTTAATTCATTGCTCCAGCCCAACCAGGAGCAGGCCACACATTTGAATAAAGTATTTTCAGCAACCAGGAAACTACCACTGTGGCAACATTTGAAGGTGCCAGTGTGCTCTGTCAGCTTATGCTCTTTGACTTGCCCTTATAAGGACAATATAGTTTCACAGCAACGAGCAACAGAACATAGCGGTAGTTATCTATACGGGAAATAAATCTTAGTGCACAGGCTCGCAGCAGTCAGAGTTAATCTCAGGCTTAGTGTAACAGCTTGTAATTAATGTTGACAAACTATAATGTATTAGAAATAGTAGTGACCACTAATGGGTTTATAGGTCATTAGAAACTTCCTCATCGTGCTTTAAAAACATCCAGTGCATTCTGGCCCAGCGCTGCACACTTTAACCTAAGGCTGCAGGGGAAAGCTTCTGAAAAGACTTTTGCCTCGTGTGCAGGCTTCTGCCGAATATCCGCTTTTCAGTGACACCAGAGCAGGTCTTGATCCCTGCTGAGCAGTGTCAGAAAGCAGAAGTAGCTACACGTTTGAATAATCATAAAAAGACCCACCTTTTTTTTCAATGTGTGCTCGTGTATATCAGCTTTTCTGCAAAGATACCACCTCATTTAACACAGATTCCATAGCTTACACTGATGACCAGATAAATTACACTTAAATGTTTCAAACCCCAGGGAGCCTACTTTGTAGCTGTACAATGCAAGCAGTCATTTTCAGAATTCATTAATTGTGCCAGGCCCTTTTGACTTGAGCCTTGTTAATGTCCTCTCAGGGGAGCTCAGTAATGAGGCGCGGCATTCAGCCTTATGTTAGTTTGGGGAAATTATCATTATACATAGTCAATGAGGAGTAGGCCTGGTGGGAGGGCTTTTCCCAACAGGTGGCTCACAGATAACACTTCAGAACAACCACGATTACACTCTCTCAGTGGGCATAAAAACAATGGTGGCGACACCTACTCTAATAAACAAATACATTCACCGGTTGCTTTCTTTGGACCGACTTTCTTGTTGTGCTATATGTGACTGATTTGTTGAGCATACCCGCAAAAACAATCTCCCGACATGATGTTTCTTCTTTCCTTAGGCTGAGGGAGAGGTCGCTTCCCTTAACAGACGTATCCAGCTGGTTGAGGAGGAGTTGGATCGTGCTCAGGAGCGTCTGGCTACTGCTCTGACCAAGCTGGAGGAGGCTGAGAAGGCTGCTGATGAGAGTGAGAGGTGAGTTTTGTGAGGCAGCTCAGGCTCAAACAGGGAGGTAAACAGGCCATGTGAACATGTTTCCACTCCTTTGTAGAAGTGCCTCTGCTCTTTTTTAATATCGGAAAACATTTAGGTATTCACCTTAGGAGCACATTAAAGATTTACTTGCCAGCACTACTATTTAACCACATATGGGTCCTCAGGGAAAACTGCAGGAAGTCTGTCAGGTCTCACCACTTAATTCTTAACATTCTTTGACTGTTCCCGCACACAGAGGCATGAAGGTCATTGAGAACAGGGCCATGAAGGACGAGGAGAAGATGGAGCTGCAGGAGATCCAGCTGAAAGAGGCCAAACACATCGCTGAGGAGGCTGACCGCAAATATGAGGAGGCGAGTTTTTTTTAAGCATTTAGCTTTGAAATTGATAGCTCTGCAACAGACGTTAATTCAGTTATAACAACCCTGAGCTCTTCATTCTGTTAAACTTGTTTTTACCCAGTTATAACACTTGAATTTTCACTGGAAAGTTTGTAATATGTCCTGTATCCTTTAAACCTTGTTTATAATTCACCAGAATTGGAGTTGCAAGGATAATCGTAAGCGGGTGAAACACTCTGGGCTGGATGTAACCCAGTGCTAACTGTCTCACAGTCATTTCATGGTTCTTTTTTCTAAAAACGTTGTTGTGCTACACCAAAAGGTTGCCCGTAAACTGGTCATCATTGAGGGTGATCTGGAGCGTACAGAGGAGCGCGCTGAGCTGTCAGAAGGGTAAGTCCTTTTGCCTTTTTTTTCACACACAAAATCTTTGCTTAAACTTGCACGTATGCTGGAATTGAAATACTCAGGAAGCTTCGAGCGCTAACACTTAAAAGTCTAGTAGTTGTTTCCATTTGAACAGTGTGCCCTGTGTTCTTACTGTATGTGCTGATTATTTGCATGCCCCTCGTGGTTTGAATGGTTTTGGCTTGCACATGCGCGCCACACCCACTAACAGGCGTGCTCGAAGAGTGGAGGATGAGCTAAGGGTTTTGGAGCAAAGCATGAAATCACTAGACTCCACAGTCATACAGGTACTGCAAACAGAAAGCATAACACACTTGTATCTCTCAGTGGCTCTTCTCACTGCTTTGCTTGCTGTGCTTGCTCCTCTCCTTCATTGTGCTCTTTAATTCCAAGTGCAATTAGACTGTTTCATGCCTAACATGGCAGGGGCTGTGCAAGAATAACACCAAAGAAAAGCATGATATTTCAATCCAAGCAGATAAAAAACACACTGCTACTGTGTTTTCTCACATTCCTGCTCTGTTAAGGCACTTTTGAGGTACTTGGCGTTCCCTCCTTGTTAAAACCCTGTAGTTTTTATTTATTATTTTGTTTCCTCTCCCCCTCCTTCCTTCTTTTTCCCTCCACCTTTTTATTTGTGTCTACCTTCGGCTCTGTCCATCGTCGTCTCCCTCCTTTTTCCTACTCGTCCTTGGCAACTTTATCCCCTAAAACACCAGCAAATGCTCTGAGCTTGAGGAAGAGTTGAAAACTGTGACCAACAACCTGAAGTCACTGGAGGCACAGGCTGAGAAGGTACGTGCCATCCTTCCGGGCGACTGCATGCTGTCAAACCCTTGCAGCTCCCCTGCAGACTTGATGGATGGGGCGCAGACGAGCCTCTTCACTTCTGTTTTTTTTTTTAACTCATTTCTATAAATGCAGTGAAAGTATTTATCTCAACGCACATGTTTGCGATTCCTTATAGCTGTTGTTGTTTTTGACCCACAGTACTCACAGAAGGAGGACAAGTATGAGGAGGAGATCAAGGTCCTCACTGACAAGCTGAAGGAGGTACAGTTTCACAATGCCCCATCTGGTGTTTTAGGCTCACACCAGGATAATTTACACAAGTTTCCACATCAAGTGTTGGACTGACTTCTGAATCTGTCTCTGTAATGCAGGCTGAGACTCGTGCTGAGTTCGCTGAGAGATCAGTAGCCAAGCTTGAGAAGACCATTGATGACCTGGAAGGTATGCTTTTTGGGGTTTTTTGTTTGCTTGCTTTTCTGCCTCCAAACCCAGAATGCTACTATGATTATTTTTCCAATGTTTATTGTATCATTGGAAGTGTTTTGGGTAAGTGTTTCAAAAAATCTCCTAGGTCCCTTTTTCACATTTCTTTTTGAACTCTATCCTGTTTCATCTTCTCTTTTTTTCAGACAGCATCTTATTTCTATTTTGGTACTTCTTATTCTTTCACTATTACATTTAGTTGGTTGCTTTTTTCAGTTCCAGTTAGGAATGGGTGGTTTTAAAGTTAAGCAGTGATATCAGGCTTAGGTGTTGATTTAGTCTTATAAGCACCACATTGCAGTGAAATACAGCCCATTTCTCAATGGTGCTGAAGAATCTAACCTTAGATCTGCTGCACATCCACTCTGTCTTTCTGGTGTAACTTTGTTTCCTTTTTCCCCCCCTCGTTTTTCTGTCCTCTCTCCATGTTTTTTTTTTCCTTCCCTGTCCTGCAAATGGTCTGGATGCTTCACCTTCCACCTCCTTGTGTCATGTTCCTCCTCCACCTTTTGCTTTCAATCACCGCCCTACCTCCCGCCCCACCCCCAACATGCACCTTTCACTCCTGGCCCACCAATAGATGAGTTGTATGCCCAGAAACTGAAGTACAAGGCCATCAGCGAGGAGCTGGACCACGCCCTCAACGACATGACTTCCATGTAATTTTTCTACTTGCCGTACCTGCTTGTTTCCACCATCATGCCCCCTCTCTCGCCTCTGGCCTGCACCCGTGTTACCTGCACATCAAATGCCTCACCTCTTTTGTCTCCCTCATTTATTATTTTACATGCTCACTAGAACTAAACATCTCATCTATACTAAAATTCCTTTTTTATATATAGTCTTATATATAAAGTTTCAAGTCTTAAAACAGAAATTTGTTCCCTCTGTACTTGAGCTGCTCCTGTAATAGATAATCCTGTCTTTAATTGTGTCCTTATGATGATACTGTATGCCTTTTGTGTCAGTATCTTTGACGTTTGAGAGTACAGAAAAAAACGAATGAAGTCATTTCATGCATGAACAGAACGCAGCATGATAATATTTAGATTCTTTTATGAGTTTATGTTCAAATGCCCATTGTAATATCGTTGGACATTTTCACTTCTTAAGCAATACATGCAAGCTGTTGATTGACAAAAACTGCAATAATGATTTTTTTTTTTTCACTGAAACTGGTTTACATGCTGATCCTCATGGTTACATGTAGTGTCCCCATTTCTACTAATATGGTCTACTTCCGTTGAGAAGAAAGGCCCACACGTGTGTTTGTGATACCCTCCTTTGCTATGTCAATATACCAGGTGAGGAGAAGAGGCCATAGCGTAGCACCAGTGTGGCTGAGCCCACAGTTTTTCCTAAGTAAAATTCCCAGTGTGTAAAGATGAGAGCCACAACTGTCTGTCAGTTGAGCGCTGCACCTCGTGATGTAGCAGGAAGGTGTTGATGTAATCACAGGAAGGACTTGCCCCAACCCTTCAGTGTGTGTGTGTGTTTGCAAGTGTTTTCCAATGCACAGGATGCATTTACACTGTGCATTGTGGTTTTTGTGGTGCCCTTCCGTGACTCCCGTGTGTCTGGTGTATTTTGGTTGGCATTTTACATTTCCGTAGGTCCCCCTCCTCCCCAGGTTCACTCTACTTCTTCTCTTCCACACAGATAAATTGTTTACACCTCATCAAAGACGCCTCCTGCCGGCTGAGCAGCATCTGTCTGCTCTCTCCAGCCTTTTCTCCATTTCCCCCCCCCTTCCCTCTCTGTCTTTGCTTCCCTTTCCCCCTCATGTCTTCATGTCAACATTACTTGCATCCCATCACTTGTACAGAATCCTAGAATCTTTCTGCGTTGTGTAAAAAAAAATAAACGTCCTTCCTTCTATGTAAAGCTGTATCTCTTTTCTCTGTCCTTTTTATTTTTCATTCATATTTATTTTTCACTGGCTCTAATAAAACCAGGAAGCCTTGATTTTAAGTTATGTTATTGAATCATTTTCTCTTTTTTTTTTTTCTTTTCTTGCATCTCAACAAACCACTAGGTCCTCACTCTTCCTTGGTGTAGTTTTATGGATTTCAGTCGATGCTCATTTTCTTCTTCGTCCAAAGTTTTTCTTTTCTGTGAAGCTGATATAATAGGAATATCACAGCAATACTGAAAGCACAGAAACCTCCAGCATCTGTAGATACTTGACTGAAAGCTGAGTCTAGTTGACTGATGCATGCAAGCACTTTTGAACATGTAGTATTGTGATGGGAGTAATTGGCAGGAAGGATGTTTGAGCTGGTGGTAATTGGTGTTGGGCTGTTATCAGCAAGACTGTGGCAACGTAGAGTAATGGTTGGCGTGCAGAGCAGTATGTAAGAGTTGTGGAACCTCATCTGACGATGAAATATTGGATGAAACTGACTGACATCAGTGATTATGACAAACAGGCTTTGTATGATATATGGTATCTTGTCATATATTTAAATAAATACATCATGACACATTCAGACTCTTTGTATTAAAGTCATTGCCATAAATTGTGAGAGATCAAGATTAGCAGGAGTGAGCATGAAACCAAATTTGGCCTAAAGACTGGCTGAGGTTTAGCAGCCACATTAAAGATACTTACAGGAAACTGAGTGAATAATCAAGACAGAGTAGTGATTGAATTCATGATTTATTTTTCTGTTTCTTCATTTTTCAACTTAAATGGTTCCATTTTAGGATTTAGATCTTTGGCTCTTTTTTTGTCACAATGCTCTATCTTCTGTTTCTTATTCTATGCACAGCCCTGGCTCGCCTCTTGCAGACAAAAAGAAAAAGCAGGAACCATCAAAATACTTTATTTTGTAATATCATCTATTATTATGGCTATTTAGACCTTTTAGAAAGATTAAACCAATCTCTCGGTGCTCCTTTCTAGAGAAGGTAGATGTCAAAGGGTATTCCACTTTCTCTTTTCCTGTTTTCCTCTGATTTCCTATTCTCTCTGTTTTTTCAACTTGCTTTCTGACTGCAAAGATCGCCTCTACCATCAACTTGAGAAAAACCGCCTTCTCTCTAATGAACTTCGCGTGGCCTTGAATGAGGACTAACTTGTTCATGCGTTTGTTCCGTTCACTGCGGTTTTGCTTTCGGTGTGCGTATGACAATCGGATCCAGCGTAAGCTCCAAAGCTCTTCCGTTTGCATTGCCCGAGTACGATGCCTGTGCTGCTCGATGTGTCTGTGTCGCTGCTGGTGGAAGTGTATTTGAAACCGTAAAAATCAGGGATTATCTTTAATTACATATAATTTTCTAACCTTTAGTTTGGCATTAATAAACTGTTATAACCAACACTATAATAATCTACCTGTATACTGTTGCTGTGTGTTCTGTGTCAGTTGCAGTGTATTTGTAATCTGCATGACTGCTTGCTATTCTGTGTGTTTCTGTTTGCTGTCAGTGCTGTGCAGGTCGGGTTAAAAAGCACTCAGATTTACCAACTGACCTGAACAATGTAGCCAGCTTGATTATTAATACAAGCTAACCAGCTGACTCACTTGTGTGTGCTTGTGTGACATTAAAATGTTTTCATTTTGATTGTTCTAACAGAGAAAGTATCACAAGCTAAAGAAGAGAACCTCGAAATGCACCAGATGCTGGACCAGACTCTAATGGAACTGAATAATTTGTGAAAGCACGGTCTGACCCCTCCCCTTGCCCCTCACACACACATACACTGTGGTTTTGGCTTTATGTATTTGCACCTTGCTTACCGTAAACCCCTTCTTCTCGTACCTTGCCAATGGTGGAGAACAAACAGCCAGATGCTATTCTTATTGCATCGTTCTGCCTTCAGCAGAACTCAAAGGGGAAGTAACGCTTAACCATTCCCTCTCATGAAGCCTAAACTGAGAAACACGGTTGTTTTCGCAAGCCAGTTTTTATCTTTGCCTTTTGCAATCCTTGATTTTTTTTTTTTTGACAAGTCATCTGGTGAAATGACCATTGACCAAGTACCATTGGTTACAAGATCGTTTTCTACAACTGCATTTAAGCTGATCTGGTACGTAGCATTCTGCCTTGATCATGCACATACCAAAGGACAAAGTGGAGAAATTTTGCACTTAGTAAAACCTCAGCATTATTCATACAACAAACTATGCTAAAAAAGAGTCATTACACCCCAGTGAATATACACATGAAAGTCATCACAAGTGTATGTATACCCTGACAGTCACTGTCAGTATGTATACTGGTGCTACTGTAATGTTAAAGAAATGGCACAAGACTTCAGCCCTTTTTGTTGTTGTTGTTTAAAACCAAGGTTCAAAATTGTTTCATTTTGTCTGTATAGTATGATTTTTGGTGTACCGGTAGTGCTTTGTTGTAGCATTGTTTTAATGTAGACGTCTCAAGTGTCATCATATCTAAAATGTAAAAAATATAAATATAAATAAAAGCATGTTTTGAAAGTTTTGTAACTTTGTTTGTGGTACATACGTAGACTTTTTGTTTTGTTCGTCAGAGGTGACCTGTAGTTGAATGAAGCTTGATTGCAGTGCAAAAGAAAAGAGAAAGCTTATTTAATAGATTTTATTTTATCTTTCCATATGTAAAATGTATTACATTTTTCAAATAGCTAAAAATTAAATAAATCTATTAATTTTGCAGCATTTTCAAAACTTCTCTCTCTTGTTTCTTTTCCTTGGGCCTCAGTTTGACTGCCATCTGTTCAAAAGCATTGTGTTTCTTTGGTTCACTCCAGCTCACCCAAAACAGCTACTATATTTGTTCAGTTCAGTCATTTACCCTCTGAAATATTCTAAATAATTGATCCAACAAACTATAATAATTTTACAATAAAACATCAGATATACACTCACTGGACACTTTATAGGTGCACTGTGCTAGTACTGGGTTGGATACTCTTTTGCCTTAATTCTTCATGGCATAGACTCAACAAGATGCTGGAAACAGCATTTGTTGTCGGTTAAGAGATTTTGGTCCATGATCCCATGATAGCATCACACAGTTGTTGTAGATTTATTGGCTGCACATCCATTATGAGAATCTGCCATCCCAAGGGTGCTCTATTGGACTGAGATCTGGTGACTGTGAATGCCATTTGAGTACATTATCATGTTCAAGAAACCAGTTTGAGAGGATTTGAATATTGTGACATGGAGCTTTGTCCTCCTGGAACCAGTCATCAGAAGATGAGTACACTGTGGTCATAAATGGAGGGACATGGTCGGCAACAATTTTGCGGCATTTAAATGATGCTCAGTTGATATTAAGGAGCCCATAGTGTACCAAGAAAATATTCCCCACACCATTACACCAACAACCCAAGACTGAACTGCTGATACAAGGAAGGATAGAATCATGCTTTCATGTTATTGTTCTATTACAGCAGAAATCAAGACCAGGTAATATTTTTCCAATCTTCTATTGTCCAGTTTTGGTGAGACTGACAGAAGTGGCATCCAATCTGGTCTTCTGCTGCTGTAGCCCATCTGCTTCGAGATTCAGCGTGATGTATATTCAGAGATACTCGTCTGCATACCTTGGCTGTAACAATTAGTTATTTGAATTACTGTTGGCTTCCTATCAGCTCAAAGTAGTCAGGCCATTGGCCTCTGACCTCTGACATAAACAAAGGCATTTTCACTCAGAGAACTGCAGCTTACTGGATTTTTTCTCATTTTTGGCCCATTTTCGGAAAGCCCTAGAGATAGTTGTGTGGGAAAACCCCAGTAGTTTGGTAGTTTTGGAAATATTCAGACTAGCACATCTGGCACCAACAACCATGCCACGTTCAAAGTCACTTAAATCACTGTGAAACCCATTCTGATGTTTGATATTAACTTAAGCAGGCAGCCTTTTCATCATATCTGTATGTCTAAATGCAGTAAATTGCTGCTATGTGACTTAACTTTTGGTGTTAAGCAGTTGAACATAAGTACCTAACAAAGTGGCTGGTGAGTGTACTATATAGTATGCGAAGTACTTCATTTTACTTGATAGATATCAGTGAAGTTAAAGTTGAAAAATAAAATTAACTTTCACGTACTATATGCACATACAGTACGATTAATATATTAGTCACTAGTTTATGTTGGCACAGAACACTGTACTTGCAGCAGTTAAATAACTGGCAAGCCCACTGACATTCCTTTGCTGCCACAGCAGTGGAAAGATAAGGGTCTGTGTGTGGGTGAGAGAGAAAGAGAGCCAGAGTTTATTCTCAATGCGGTTGCACAAACCTGAAGTTTGGTCTCTAGCTTGTGTATGTAGGCCTATTGTGGTTATATGGGTTGGCATTCTTAGACACTGCAGATGGAATGCTCCCCACTGTCTGTTCATGTGTGTCTGTGTTTTTTTAAGCAAATGCATTTGTATATTAATGAAATGCATATTAAGAACGATGACTTCACTTCATCTAAATATCAAATTATGTTAAACAAATTGTGTTTAGAAAGCACTGTTCAGCATCAGCTTTTCAAAACTGCCAAACCAATATTAGCTGGTTAGCCCAATCCCCAAAATCAAAACGGTGTACTGAATACTCTACAATCCCACGTTAACTGCCGGGAGATCAGGATTTACCCATGATAATAACACACCTTGTAAAAAGTAGTGTAAACAAGTTGCTGTAAATTCTATGTTAACTTACTGACATCCAGCTACAAGTCTGTTACTGTAAATTTAATTCACATGAGATCCCGTAATTCAATTACTATAAATTAAATAACTGAAAGCTATCATACATTTAATTTACAGCATATTTACTGTAGATAATACAGTAAATTACTACCAGCGACTTTACTGTAAATGCAGTTGTAGCATGATGTAAAAAGTGTTTACAGTAAAGTTAGCAACTTTACTGTAACTTAAAGTAACTTTAACTTTAAGTAACTTTAAGTTACTATAAACAGTTGTTTCCAGTAAATTAATGGTGTCCAGCTGCCAGCAAGTTGCTGCACAGAGTTACAACAACCTATGTACAGCACTTTCTCGTCTGAAAGCCAGGTTTTTTACTTTTACTTATTTATTTGATTCTTTGTGTCATTATTAGTAAAGTTAATCTACAGAATAAACTGTGTTTTTAGCATTTATTTCTCTAAATGAATATCCCTGCTGCTGTGTGCTTGTCTTTGTGTGATTTGTTGTAGTATTGTTAGCACTGAGTAGGCCAACATACACAGTACACACGTCAATAAATGCTGATATTGTTCAAGGACAAGGTTTTATGTTCCCTGGTCTCACCCAATGACTGTATAAAAGTCATTGGTCTCACCTCTAGCTACAAACCCTGCCCTATTCCCCTCGATCAACGTTCTTTGAATCATGATTTGATTTATTTGGTCTTGTTCGAGGCGTTCCGAACGAGGACGCGTACAGGAAGTAAACAAGCTGTTGGTAACGGTGAGCAGATCATTGACTGGAGCCACTTGTCGCCGACAAAGAAGGAGTGCTTTCTCACGATGTTGCGTTTGTTTTTGTCCAGGCAAAGTACTTTTTGTACCAAATGCAGCATGTTAGCAGCGCGCGAGTCGCCTGTGACGACCCCGCGTGCAGGAGCGCGAGCCAGGCAGCAGCGGAAGTCAGATAGTATTTTTATTCAGCAACAAAGGCGATATGTGGGAGGACCAGCCTTTCGTAAATACCGGTTAAAGTCCACGATTTGGATGTATGGGGTTGGAGTGGGGATCGCTTTAGCTGTCGGGCTGAAATACAGCAGCGACGGTGCCAGCAGTTTCTGCGATGTTAAAGTTACGAGAGCAGAGAAGACGGATCGATACAAAGATGCTATAAAAGTTAGCAGAGACCTTGTGGAGCGGATAAAGGTAGGCACAGAGGTAGGCTTATAACTTGCTTTGTAATTGATTGACTAGTGTCCCTTTGCTCTGTCTTATTAACCCGAAGCCCACCTGTAGCAACTCGGTGTGTTTGTGTGTTGGCAGGATGAGGTCGGTGCTCCGGGAGTGGTAGTTGGCGTCTCTGTGGATGGGGCTGAGGTCTGGTGTGAAGGTTGGTGACCATGCATCGCACTATTTTCATCCCATCCCACAATTCCCACATGCACAGTGTCCCGCATTTTTAGTGTAGGGAGTTTACAAAAGTTTTGCTCAAAGTGTGATTCAAAAACAGCTAATCCAACACAAACATGACGTGACCGCACAGAAAAACAGCTGAAATAACGACTGCTATTATAGAAAAGAAAATAACCTTCTCCCATACGATTCTGAGAACAAACTAGGGCTCATTTCGGTACCTCCGGTGTGTACACTTTTGCTTTAAAATATAAATTAAATAAATAAGGGAGCGCGCACACATCGGATGTTGATGAATGAAATGGTAAGTCTTAAAATATATCCTACCATACACTGTGTAATTTGTTGAGAACAAAATTGTGTAATAATGGTCAGTGGAAACCATTATTATTAACCCCTTGAGCGCTGGATTTTTTTACAGGACTCTGAAAAACTAAATACAGCCTTACTGCTTCCATTTGAATTACATGGATAACTCACAGCTAGGTGGTGCTAGTCAAATGCAAATGCACACTCACTGATTATCAGCAAGTGTGAGTAGTGTGAGCCCTATAGGCTTCAGTTAGCATGTTAAATGTTAAAGTTCATGTCAGTATAATTAGAAAAAAATAAGCAAATATGTCTTGTTTGGACAGGGTTTCAGGAGCCTCTTCTCTCTAAAAAAACAAACAAACAAAAACATGGCATGTGGAACTATGTCCTTTATACAGATCAGACCAACGTGGAGATGTTTGGCAAAAAACAAACAGCATATCAACACAAACGCCCCATACCAGCTATCAAGGCACAGGACTTAGGCACCTTGCAGGCACTGATTCAGCCATGAGCTCCTCTATATACCAAAGTCAAATGTGAGTCCATCTGTCTGACAGCTAAAGCTTGGGGCAAACTGAGTCATGTGATAGGACAATGATCCCAAGCACAGCGGCAAATCTACAACAGAATGGCTGAACAAATCAGTCAAAGTCCATACCTGAGTATGACTAAAATGCTGTGGCAGGACCTTAGGAGAGTAGTAGATAAATGAATCCCCACAAACATCAATGAACTGAAGCAAAGTTTTAATAAAGTCTGTCACATTATTCTGGAGGAATAATGTGACAGACCAACTAAAGGTGATACTACAAGCTACTGAATCATGGAGTGCACTTTAAATATGTAAAAATAGACACTGTTACAAATGTTTTAACAGTAATGTAACACTGGCTAAAGGTTAAAAAGGTTAACAGTTGTTGTACAAGAATGGCAGCAAGTCCTAAAATTTGTTATTGTTGCTATTGTCACTGTTGGCAGGCTCTGAGTGGCTCAAAACAGACATTTTAGGTCAAAGCATGTAGCTGCTTTTGACTCAACTGGAGGTAGCCCACTGGTATCTGCTTGTATTAGTATTTCTGCATATTTATCATAGATTGTATTTAAATTGTGCTTTGTTGCAGTGCTAAAAAAAAAAAGATACATTTAAAGGGTCTGTGTTCAGTTTCCTTACTGCAGAATGTTTTAAAATATATAATTTATTAGGTTAATGAGTCATCTGTAAACACCGGTATATTTCCCTAAAAATGCATTGCCATTCTTATGACTTTTTAAAACACTTCATCTAATTTAGGAATTGGTTATGCTGATTTGGAGAATCGTGTCCCATGCACGCCAGAAACGGTGATGAGAATCGCCAGCATCAGTAAGCCCCTCACCTCTGCAGCTGCTGCACGACTGTGCGAGGAGGGGAAACTAGATCTTGATGCCCCAGTCCAGAAATATGTCCCACAGTTTCCCCAAAAACAGTTTGATGGGCAAGACGTAAGCAATTTCAAATACTGCAAAAAAAAAAAATGACATGCAGTATCTTGTTCTTCTAGCATTCGCAGTGTTTATCTATTTGTTTGGTTTGTATTGTTTTTAAGGTCACAATAACCTCACGTATGCTTCTGTCCCACCTGAGTGGCATTCGGCATTATGAGAAAGATGCAAAGAAAGTGAAGGAGGACAAAGAGAAAGCCAAACGACTTTTAAAGCCCCCGGTTAAAGAAAAAGAGAATGAAAAGAGCTCATCTGAAAGCAAAGACAACAAAGCCGCAACAGATCAGAACACCAAGAAGAAAAAAGAGTTTGAGCACGAGGAGTACTACTTAAAGGACAACTTTGAAAGTGTCATTCAGTCTTTGGACCTTTTTAAGAATGACTCCCTCATTTTCAAACCTGGTAAAGCTCAAACTTTATTTCGTTGTTTCTCTGTATTCACAGTTACAATGCTAACATCTTGATGGGATGTATGTTTTACTCCATGCATGCAGGCACAACCTTTCTGTACTCCACTCATGCCTTCACGCTGCTTAGTGCTGTTGTGGAGCGGGCTGCTGGTCGGCGATTCCTGGACGTCATGATGGATATGTTCCGCGAGCTGGGAATGCTCAATACAGTGCCCGATGAGAATGACCCTATTATTTACAACCGCTCTAGGTAGTGTATAATCTCCAGTCTCAAGTTATGTCCAAATTGCCTTAAAAACATGATGCTCATGCTTGTTTGGGTTTTTTTTGATGAGGTATAGCAGTGAGTTTGTACTACCTGTCTATGCGATTCCACAGGTTTTATCATCACAACAAGCGCGGACGTGTTGTGAATTGCCCGTACGTAGACAACTCCTACAAGTGGGCAGGAGGTGGTTTTCTTTCCACTGTGGGAAACCTGCTGCTCTTTGGAAATGCTCTGCTTTACAGCTACCAGGTGGCTCACTTGCAGGATACTAACGGCTTGCTTCCTGGATTTCTCAAACCCAAAACAGCGATAGAGCTTTGGGCACCAGTTGATGGGACTGAAGCCAGCTGGGATAAGGACGGACTGTATGCTCAAGGCTGGTTGGTAGTGGAGAAGGTGCAAAAATATGGCCAGTGCAGGAAGCGCAGACACTATGTATCACACACAGGAAGTGCTGTGGGCGCTAGCAGTGTCCTCCTGGTGTTACCCAGCGAAGAGATTGACCAGTGCCAAGGACAGACCCCGATCCTCCCACAGGGGGTGGTGGTCACCATCATTGCTAACATGCAGTCCGTGGGACTCAACAACACTGCACTGAAAATTGCGAAGGAGTTTGATAATGCCAGAAGGAAGTAGAACTGTTTACACAGGTGTGTGAGTTTACCTGCAAGAAAACTTTGTGATCTTGTGTCATTTTGATAGAGCTTTTCAATGTGTCTGAACTTTAAGGAAATAAAATTAGTCTTAAGTATCCATTTATATAAATGTTTTGAGTTTATTTACATTAAGCATTTTCTCAATTACAGCATTAAAGTAAGGAAGACATTCTGCCACTAGACGGAAGCAGTCCCCGCCTCCCCCCAAAACAGACTCTGATACAAGTTTCTTGGATTTATATAGAAGGCAGTTCAATTCTCTTTAAAACGTAACACGTCAATCCAGAACATTTTTTTAAATAAATTACTACTTTTAAGTAAAAAACATTTCACTCACAATTTATTTAAATCAGCTTTGCGTATTTTCTTCCTTTTAGGGCCGTCTATATACAGATATTTCCTTAAAGAGGGGTGGGACACTGACTACATATTTTTTGCTCTCTAATGGTTTCACTGTAGCATTTTTAAAATACCAATATCAACAGCCACAGTGTCAGTCCTGACCTAATGCTGGCAAGAATTCTAAAGTGAAACCATTCAGTCAGCATTTACAATGTTGTTTCTGCCCACACATTTTTTTTATTTATTTATTTATTTTTTTTAATTTGTTAACAAATACAAACTATGGGAAATGCAGTCCAACAAGTTTGGATTTCCTCCTCTGTGCAGCAAATTGAAGCCAAGTTGGTGACACCATTCTCATAAAACTCCTGGGATCACCCGTGCCCCTGTTTTTGTTAGATTTAAGGACACCGATGAATAGCTTGGGATAAGCTAATTATACAGACCCCTACACACATGCATGTGTGTTCATGCATGTGTCCAGCATTGTGGGATCCAGTTTTAAGTTTTAAAAACGTCAAAGTGCTGACATCTTTGTAAAGTGAGATCTCACTGACTGGTCCAGGACACCTCAATGAGCAATTATACTTTAAGAGATGTGATTAGATGTGAGATTAGGTTAAGAGTGGAGGTTTGGAATGAAGCATTGAAGAGGAAGAATTACTAGTGCGTTAACGTCTCACAAGTAAATAAGAGTGTGTAATGGCATGTCACCAGAAATCACACATTCAAATCATTTAAAAAAAATGATGGAATATATTTACAAATGCAAAATATTTTCTAATAACATACAGAAACTTAGTTTATAATCCCACAATTGCCACAAATTTTAAAAAGTCACACTTAAACTGCACTTTAATATGTTTTGACAAGGTGAAATGTGATTTAACATCAGAGCAATGGTGGTGTGACACTCGTCAATTTGCCCTTTAAGGTCAGTGCAGTAGTTTTTCACTCTCATTTTTTTTTCTTTTTTTTTTAGCTTTTTTCAAAGTCATTTTCAAAACCTCAGATAGCATGACAAGATAAATGACACTTCTCACAATTCGTTCCTGAAACCATCAAATGCACCACCAAATCAAATCAGAAGGAAGGATCATGCTCTTGATTGTACCTTCCAGTATTCTTGGTTGTGGTTCTGTTGTCTCTGTTCCTTCGCTTTTCGCATCCTGTGTGGTGGTAAGTAATGGTTATAAGCTTAGAAAGTATGTACAGTAATACAAAGACGTCCTGGTGCTACTTACAGATGCTTTGAGAGTGTTTACCTAAAACCACAATGTACTTACTTGCGTATGTAGTAGACAATAAATCCCAGCACTATCAAGATAAGGAGAGTAATGACAATCACAGCTGCAATTAAACCAGCCTCATCTGAAATGGGCTGTGTGACTCCGAGCTGGAACTGTTCACATCTGCTGCCTTTGTAGTTTGGGTTGCACCTGCAGGCAGATAGCGTTGCACAAATATTTGCAAATTCACAAACAACATTGCCAGGTTGGGTAGTGTCCATATTTTTTTACATTAAGATTTTTTTTCTAAGACAATTAAAAACACTGATTGATTTCAATAAACTTACACACAAGAAAGTGTGTCCATGGAAGATATTTTATAACATGTCCCTCCATTCATGCAGTAGGTGGCATCCTCTGCACTGCAAGGGTTTCCATGATCTACAGAGATAAAAGAAGGTAGGATAGTTATAACAGAGCTGGAAAGATGCTTTTTCTTAATATATAGAAATTGTTCGCTCCTCAGAGCGTTTTAGTTTTATGATTGTTGGTATTATTACCTGACATCATTGATAATGTTCTGTTTTTCCTGCTGTCTCACTAAGAACACAAGGAAGAATTTTGACAAAGAAAAGTACATGAGCACTCAACACGAGGAAAGCACGTTTTTAGGCAACATGTAAACAATTGCTGTGAATCTGACAGGAGGAGCCATAGCGTTATTGATTATTATGTTAGAGAAATATATCTCTAATATATCTGTTTGAATAAATCAACAATCTGCCCTTACCAGCTCATAAAATCCCGGCTTTTGGGTGGTTAGCGCAGCTCCTGAGTCTAAGTCATAATGACACCTGGATCTCAGAGGACGTAGTCTTGAGAGTGAGCTCCTCCCTAGGCCTAAAAAAATGTTGAGATTGCAGTTTGTCCGCATTGCAAGTTAAATGTCAGGATACAGGCTGGTAATGTTTTAACATGAAATGAACAGTATTGTTGTTTTTGTTGTTGTATAAGCAAATCAAAATGGTTTTTAGAGGTCTGCAGAGCTTCCTGGAGGTCATTATATGGCTTATATGACCTCTGTGAGTGTTAGAATCGAATGAAGACTGATTACATGACATATTGGTTTTGCTTTTGTAGGATAAGTTTCGTCAGAAAACAGGTGACGAAACCGACTTCTGTGAATGCGAGCTTGGTATGTCTGGGTTTGGTACAACTGAAACTGAATGGAGTGGCATGCAAAGAATGTGTGAATGTAATCGTGGGATGAGTTTATAGTCAACGGAAGTACTGCACTAATTCTTGCATAGAGATAATTACTACACTGCTTAGAACCGTTAGGTGACAATAAGCTGGCTATTTTTAATCTTTTATGATCATGTTTTTCTAAATTTATGTAACCCAGCATCATCCAGTGTGGCAACGGTAAACTGATTTAATTAGTTATCTGTTCAATTTGTGATTATTTAATGCCTCCTACACTTTTCATTTAGCTAATATACCGAGGCACTGTTTTTCAAAGGATGTACAGTTAAGAACTAATTAACAGTAGCCAATCACTCAATGAGGCTTTATAGATAAGTTTGATTTGTATATACGCTGCTTTGTTTCCTGTATTCTGCTCTTAAAACTTTAAATTTATCAAGAAATACTTTGTTTTATGACCTTTATGAAATCCCAAAAAGTTGATTCTGTTCATCATCATCAGTGAAAGAAACATTTCATCACTCATCCGAGTGACTTCTTCCGTCTCAGCTGACTGCAAGTTTCCCCAATCTTATAAACAATACATTTGCAGAATGACTGAAACTAGTAGCACTGACAAACCTTTTGGGATTTCCTTACCTGGATGATTGAGCATGCATCAAGACCTTGATGAAAAAATACAAAAGGAGACGTTCACATTTTTCAAAGCTGTCTTAAAGCATTAGCTGATGCTCATTTATTGACCTACTTTGAAACAGGTTTGACTTGCTGTAATTATTTTGTTCTATTCATATAGGCCATTACAAAAAGGCCTTTCATAATGATCATCTAGTTGGCAGTTGGAGTAAATATCCAGTGGGAGTAACTGTCTTCTTGTAACTACATTTCTTATTTGTTTTTCTTTCTGCTGCAGATAAGGAGGAAAAGACTGTATGGAAATAAAAGGTTTTCAGAATAAAAAGGCTGACTTAGCAAGATATGCAGTTAAAATTATATTAACTTATCTCATGATAACCTAAATATATTTTTAATGATTTTTTTCAACTTTGTAATATGTTATATTTTTCTTTGTATTACATCCTTAAATTGATGCTTGATCCACTTCTAAGCTCATCCTGACTTGCATTAACCTGCAAAGTTTCTTCTTATAGTTTTGATTTTATTGTACTTCAGTGACTACAAGGCATCCATGGACTGATCTAGCACAGCAGCCCCAGTGCTCCCTCCACCATGCTTCACAGCTGGATTGAAGTGTCCCTGCTCGAGTGCTCAAATGCCTTTGTTTCCTCAAACCTGGTCTACCTTTTTTTCCTCTTGCCAAAAAGTCCAGTGTTTGTCTCACCTCTTCACAGAACAGAAAATTAGGTAGACTGTGATATTTTTGTCAAGCTGTAATGATCTTGCTGTGTTCTGGGTGTTTCTTCACCTCTTTCAGGATTGCAGGATTGCAGGATTGCTGAGCTCAATAACCCACCCTTCCAAGAAGTGTATGGAGAACAGGTACACACATACTTTTTATTCAGCCTGCGCTTTGAGTGTGTGTGTTTAATAAAGATAGGACAGTGCCATTGTTTATTAGTTTCATGGGTTGGTGTTTAGGTATCATTTTAATTTAAGTTTTAGAAATCTATTGGAAAGTGGTGGTAATTTTCTTTTAACTGTACCGGTACTTAAAAAAGTTGCAGTGTCATCATACATTTATAAGTGCAGGCTTGATAGCTTAGTGCACTAAAAGTGAAAAACCTCATGAGCATCTATTAAGGGATGACCTACTGTTTTTTATTTTCTGCAAAGGGATCTAAAGCCTTGGCAAATTGTTTAATACCGTTTATAAAAGCCATTAGTCACAACTTATGAACCCTTTATAAATGCTGCTTTATGTGACGTTCGGGGATCTAAGTCCTGTTAATGCATTTTAGGATGCAATTGAAATGTCGCAGAGAGCCTGCTGCTGGGTGTGCTGCAGACTGATAAACTGCATTAAAATCACCACCGAGGGTCACAGAAACACTTCACTGTGAGTATTAGTGATGTGTTTTTTCTTTTTTCCGCGCGGGTGGGTTGTTGTCGCGAGGAGCTCTGAAGCTCAAGAGGTGAAGTGAAGCGAGAGTGGGCTTTTTCCCTTTTTTTTTCTTTCTTTTTTTTCTTTTTTTTACGTCGACGCTTCCAGGATGGCATAGAAAGGAGGACTTTTGCGGGCTCTAATGGCTTAGTGGGTACACTGACTGCATACATGCTTGATATGACATCATTGCGAGGGTTTGGGGTAAATCTTAGGCTATCCGTTTCCCTCCCGGAGCACTGCTTGTCACACATCTGTAACCGCTGGAATCCTTTTTTTCAGCACCTGGACAGCTCCCGCTCGTGAACCTCTTATTATTATCGGGCACATGGAGTCCCTGATGTGATTCTGGGGGAAGCCCTGCAAGCACATCATGCCTCCCTGCGAAGATGTCGTTATCACCCTGATTCAGTGACAGCCTCGTCGTCTCCTTCTGAAGGATGGTGCTTACAGTCCGGAGTAGGTGTTTTTGTCGTGCGCTATCTTCTGAGAGGCGATACGGGTGCTTGGCCAACGCAAATCTAAGGCTAATCGCAACCTACACACAGCAAGATCCGAGCTTCCCTCACATTGATCATCATCATCATCATCCACGGCGAGGAGGGAGATATAACCATCATCACTGCGAGGGCAAAGGAGTCACGACCACACTTTACACAATGTAGAGCAAGACAACACAAGAGGTTAGTGTGTTTAATTCCCCCGACCCCCTGTTTCTCTTTTTCGAGGGGGTGTCTAATCTAAAGCGCACCGAGGAGTTGATGTGTCTCAGTTGGGTTGAGCATGAACATGAATGAGGCTCTATGGCCTCTAAGAACAGCGCGGGGGGGAAAACAAAGCACGTTAACAGCTAACTGTTCGTGTAGCAATGACTTGGTGAAAAACGTTTGCAAGTGAATCTCGATTGCGCTAAATACAGAAAGCCTCAGACAGAAACGAGTCACAGGGAACTGAGAAGAGCCCAGGAAAATGTGCTGCATTTGTGGACCACCCCCCACCCACCGACCCTCGCTGATGAAGTACTTACTGAAGGCTGTACTTATAGTAATAAGGGTCAACTCAATTTGCTGATTGTGAAATTCGAGCTTTCTGATAGAGAGATGTCCAGAAATATTTTTGGTATGTAGTGCATTATCTCCAAAAAGGATTGGCACATATCTTTCAGTAGACTTGCCTTTCCAGTCACCTCCACAGTTACTCCTCACTTTTGGCACAGTGTTAACCTTTTTGACTTTAGTCACCTCTCACTGGCCAGTTCTTTCTTTCTTCTTGCACGTTTAGGGGGGTGCTGCAACGAAACAGTATCACCCTCAGCCCTTGAATGACCTGGGCTGATTTATCCTGAGTAGCATTTAATCTGCTGTGCTTCAGTACATTACTCTGCTGTGAATGCTGACTCCTCACCTCTGAATGTCCGGAGGCTTTTGCTATGCCTTTGTATCTAAAACACTACCGCAAATTCATCAAATGCCTTCTAAATAATGAAGGCATGGCCAACACTATGCTATCATTGCCATTATTTTTGCTTGTAATAGTCAAGATTTCATTAAATCTTAATTAAACGGGTGGCTGTGTTTTTGACTTTCCTCCCAGGTCATGATGTGTCCGTTTCAGTAACCGGAATGGGCTTTCACTAAACAGGCTTGGACATCAATGGTTCTCTATCCTGTGGCACAAAGAGCTAGCATCCTGGTGCACTTGCTATGCAAGAGGTGTGATGTTCCTCAGCCCCTGATTCACAGAGCGGAGCGTATATTGGAGGAGATTTAAAATCCATTACAGTTTATTGCTCCCCAGGAAAATAGTTGAACAGAGCATAGCTAAAGCTGGAGTTGGAGCAAGGCACCTTCAGGAAAAACATAAGCACCGATTTTTCATTGATAGCTCTGAATGCATTTGTGCTGCACGGCTACAATGTAGACGCCTCATAATTTTGAGAATTGCTGTTTATTGTTAACCTTGGGGCAATCTGCCCACAAGACCTATTAGTTGCTGCTCTGGAGCTCCCAATCATAAGCCACAATAAGTTTCAGAAGAGGGAGCTTTCCTATTATTTACCTCTTTATGTGCTTTGTCTGTTTTTATCTTGTGTTTCCTGTATGTGTGGCAGGAGCCCAGTCTCTGCAGCGGTGAAATCATATTTCACACTTGGGGTTATTTAGCGTGGACGTCTATTTGCAGCAACAAGACCTCGACATGAGCAACACTCAGTAAGTATAACACCCTCCGGAGTCTTGTTTGAAACCATGTGTACGAGAGAGTGTGAAATCTTAAATCTCTATTTATGAACATGTTGTATTATGCGCAGTTAGTCTC